CGGGTGGAACGGTGCTGGACCGGCGTGGGGGCATCGGCGGGGTCGCCGAGGAGGCGGATGAGGCAGGGGAGATGATCACTGCCATGTGAGTCCTCCAGGACCTCCCAGGTGGCTCGCAGGCCCCAGCGGGCGGGGGCGAAGGCGAGGTCTATGGCCGTGTCCTGTTGCCCAGTCGTGCCGACCCTGGTGGGGCGGCCGTCATTGAGCAGCGTGAGGCCGGCGTTCTTGAGGATGCGTTGGGACCGTCGGGGAAGTTGAAAGCCGTCGTTGTCGCCGTCGCCACCGTCAGCAGAGTCCGCGGTGTCAGTGCAGTCTTCGATGTGGGCGTCGAAGTCCATGAGGTTTTCTTCCCCGTCCTCTTCATCAGCCATGTCGGCAGGACGTGCAGAGTAGCGCCAGGCAATACCTTGCTCCCCCCTCTCCTCTCAGGTCGTGCGCACCGCGCGACGGCCAAACCGGAAGTCCCGTGGATTTGTTATATCAAAAAGTATTTCTGCCTGTCTCGCAGCAGACGACAGAACGATAGAGTCTTCTTGTTTTCTTCTCCACAACTCCGACGAACTCGGGCCATACCAAACATGAAGCTAGTGAAATGTGCGCTAGGGTTCAAGCTGTCCATCCAAATGTGTATCTGTTTGGTACCCAGGTAGTAAAATGGAGCAAACTGTATTCAAACCGCATTATATGTCCCATCTGAAATGCCCATTTTAGGTGCATGTGCGCGCATATTAGGCGCCTAGACGCGTTTTAGGCGCTTTTAGTTTGGACACAAAATGCACATTTTATGCAGCTCTGCTAGGGTACGACGTCTTGCCCTCGAGACCGGACCCAGGTTCTCCCCAGTGAGAATTTTTTCCGACGATATCGTTTCGACATCGGTTTTCACGTCGTAAGCGACAGAAAAGTGGGCCTGAAATCTGAAATCGACGGCTTTTCGACAGTCGACATCGAAACGACATCAAAACGACATCGTCTGTCGAAAAGCCGTCGATTTCAGGCCCACTTTTCTGTCGCTTACGACGTGAAAACCGATGTCGAAACGATATCGTCGGAAAAAATTCTCTCTGGGTCACGGGTGGAGCGAGACCCGGCAGGACGAGACGCGTACATAACCTTACCCTAGCAGCCGCCACTTGTTTATTGATTAGATGACAAGCGTCATCGGGGAAAGTAAATAAGCACAGCACTGCGCCTGGGCCCCAATGAGGAATGAATATTTTTATCATCGTTCCGAGGTGAACCCGAACTATATTCGCCCCCCCCCCCCCCCCCCCCCC